ATGAATGAATGAATGAATGAATGAATGAATGAGGATGCCCAGCCCAAGACTCACCCCCTCCAAACCAAGTCCCAGGTCCCACCTGTGGAATGAGAAGCTTGGAAACCCTTTCTCTGGACAGAGTTGTCAGAATAGAAGCGCAGGAACATGCGATTTCCAGTGGCCAGGACAGGTTCAGGCTTCTTGCTCCCGCAGAAGCGGCCCAGGACAGGGGCTTTGGCATCACGCCCATCATATACCTCCAGGTGGTCATAGGTACATTCTGGCTGTGATTCAATGTCCAACTCTGAGAAGGTCTGGAGAGGGGGAAGAGAGAAGGAGGACATAAGCTAGAGGGATAGGGGCAGGAGGGGTATAGGGCAGTCCCCTTCCAGCCTCAGAAATAAGGCCACCCTGCATGAGATGCCCACAGACTAGACTAGTGGTAGGGGAGGGGCTAGAGAGGGAGGCAAGAAAGAATGGCAGAAACAGTGGAAGCTGCAGGATTGGGGGGAGATAAGATAGAAAGTTAACATTCTTAGGAGTGGGGGTGCTCATGCCCTATGTCTGGGTCAGGTTCAACCATATACCTAGGGCTGGGCAGTGTCACTCTCTATGGCTATGCTCACTTGACTCAATAGCCCAGGTGCCAGCCACCCTGTGACTTATTCCAGAAGGTGGAGCAATGGGAGATCTTGGCCAAAGGAGGCCGGAGGAGGGAGAACACATGTACACGTGTGGCATCTTACCAGTTTGACACGGTGCCCAGCAGTGCTAGAGATAGACCAGGTGCACTCCTTTTTGCTCGGGTATTTATCAGGCCAGTTGGGGCTGGTGATGGTGCCACTGGTGGATGTTACCTTGTGGTCACAACCAGCTGTGAGGAAGTGGGGGAAGGGATCAGCATGGACAGGAATGGCATTCTCCCTGTGCAACCCCTGGGAAGGAACTACTTTACTTCCGTTTGCAAACAAGGTTTTGTGGGCTATATTCCCTGTCATTCATCTACTCAGGGGAAAATCTAGCTGGTTGTTCCTACTCGCCTTTAGCCAGCAGACACCATGTGGGGGTAGTTACCTGAACTACAGGCTTAGCAAATAAGAGGACCTAAGTAAACTTTGAAGGGTGTGTGTGGCAAATTCAAACCTACAAAAGGATGACAAATGTCATACCCTGTTGACAGGTCTCCCCAAGAAACAAAAGGCCCTGCTAGACCAGGGAGAAAAAAAAAAGGGCAGGTGGATGGGGAGTTCAAAATCCTGCCTCATCCACTTACTATCTATGACCCCGGGCAAGTCACTTAATTTCTGTTGCACTCAATTTTTCACATATAAAATGGGGATTAATAATAGCACCTACCTTGTAGGGTTGTTGTGAGGATTAAATGGAATATATGTAAAATGCTTTGCAAACCCTAAAACACTATATAAATGCTGATATTATTATTATTATCTTCTCCAATGACAAATGACAGTTTGATGACATCACAAGTAAGGACAAAAGTGAGCCCAGGATCACCGCCATGCCAGGATGAGGCATCAGACTTACAGGATTTAGATACTGTCATTGTATGGTTGTTTTGCATATGTTGGCTTACGCATGTTAGTTTACACTGGTTTACACGTTAGTTTGCATATGTTTACACATGCTAGTTATATACCCAGATGGATTTTAGGATTCTCAAGGGCAGGGACTATATTTTAATAAATCCTTGTTGATGATTAATTGATTTGCAGTTTATCTATTAGTTGACAGTAGATAAATGGGTATTTCCAAAGTGCATAAGAAAATGGCTGGTTTTTGTACGTAGTTTGCTGATGCTATTAACTGGTTTAGCAAATCTTTTCTTCCCACATAATACAGATAAGTCGAAGGTAAACTTTGACTCAGACCATGTTGGAATGCTAAGGTTCCAGCTATAAAATAGAATTAGTCAAGTCCAAAGGAATGAAGCTTTCCTATTTCTTGGCACAGTAGGGAAGAAGGCCAGGAACAAGCATTAAGTGCCTATTATGTACAAAGTACTATGCTGAATGCTTTACAAATATTATCTCATTTTGATCCTCACAACAACCCTGAAAGGCAAGTCCTGTTATGCTCTCCATTTTACAGATGGAAGAACTGAGGCAGACAGGTTAAACGACTTGCCCACAGTCACGCAGCTAGTAAGGATCTGAAGCTGGATTTGAATTCAGGTAGTAGTCCAGACTTCAGGCCCAGTGCCCCGTGCACTATGGTGCCCCCTAGCTGCGACCCCTGCCAGGTAGGTGTCTTGGCATCTCCCGTTCTGGACCTCACCTTCTTTGCAGTCATGTTTGTTGTCATGGAGGACGAAGCCACTTCGGCACTGGCACTCGTAGCTGCCGAAGGTGTTGACGCAGTCCTGCTGGCAGCCGCCATTGTCCTTGGAACACTCGTCCTTGTCTGGGTGGGAGAGAGAGGAAACACAACACAAAGCCCTCTCTGTGGGCTGGGGGCAGGCATGGCAGGGCCGGGGCAGGGGAAGCAAAGGGCTAGACTCCTGGCATGGGGAGGAGAGGCCAGGCTTTCCTCTCCCCAAGGGCAAAGGCAAGCTGAGGGTATGGGATCCTGAGGTCAGAGCATGAAGCAGTAACCAGATGTGGGGGCCTAGCTGTGCAGCCCGGGAATAATCCATGATGTGGGCAGAGAAGGTAGGAAGCAGAAAGTGGCATGGGGGAGTAGGGAAATGCAAATGGCCGACGTGGGGGCTCCCTACCATTACCTGCTTACTGGACAGACGGACAAGTGGAAAAACAGACACATGGACAAGCAGACTGCAAGAGAAAGGAGCAGGACGCAGGGGTCCCTCTTTTACTTCACAACAGGAAATGTCACAGACACCATCAAAATGGGAGGGGGTGGGGTGGGGAAGCACCCAGGGGGAAGGGGAGAAGAGGAGAGCACCAGTTCTGTCCGGCCAGGGCAGGGGGACAAGGAGACACAGGCCGGAATGGAGGGAACAAAGGAGTTGAGGTGTGGGTCGGTGGGACTCATGGCCCCCCCCTTTCGTCCGAGGTGGAGTTCCTGAGTAACAAACAGGCTGGAGAGGCCACATCGGCCTCACTGAGGGGTCCGGTTTCTTTTCTGCATTCGGTTTTTGAACAGCTGGGGGCGTCCCCGGGGTGGCTGCAGTGATGGCCTTTTTTCTGAAATGAGAGAGAGAAGGAGAAAAGGGACCAAGGGGAAGGGTGGGAGAGGTAGGGGGTCAGGAAAGAAGAGCAGGTAAAAACCACATCCAGGATCAGAGAAGCACATTAAATGGGCTGGGGGAGGTCACAAGGAGGGGATGGGGAGTGTCAGGGGCATGCAGGACAGCCATATCCAGGAGCAGCCAGGTCACAGGAAGGAAGCAGGGAGTGCAGCAACCGTGGCATAGGAGGGGAACTCCTGACAGGGAAGGCAGGGCAATGTGTCCCACCCACCCAGCTCTGAGGAGAAGCCGTTGGGAGGGCCTGCTGCACCAGAGATTGAGAGAGTCTAGGGCAGGAGACAAATGAGATGGAGAAACTGATTTTGGGAAGAAGGAAGGGAGAAGAGACAGTTCCTCTGTGAAAACCTAGTTTGTTCTTGTAGGCCATTTGCTGGGTCTATAGAGCATCCTGGACATAGGATACATGCTCACCAGGATGTACAGATACTCACACACCCACAGCTTCACTGACGCACTATGACTGACACATATTCATAGAGACACACAAATAGACACAGATTCACATTCAGATAGGAGCATAGACAGAAACACGAACACATCCAGAGAAGCAGGCATATATATGCGTGCTCTCTCTCTCTCTCTCTCCCCCTCCCTCTCTCCCTTCCTCTCTCCTCTCCTCTCCTCTCCCCCCTCTCTCCTTTTCTCTCCTCTCTCTCAATCTCTCTCTCCTTTCTCCTCTCCTCTCACTCAATTTCCCTCTCCCCTCTCTCAATCTCAATCTCCTTCTCTCTCTCTCTCTCTCTTTCTCTCTTTCTCTCTCTCTCTCTCTCTCTCTCTCTCTCTCTCCTCTCCTCCCCTCTCCCCCCCCTCCTGTCTCCTCTCCTCTCTCTCAATCTCCCTCTCCCCTCTCTCTCTCTCTCTCTCACTCTCTCTCTTCCCCCATACACACACCCCAAGACATAAAACAAGGGGAAGAACCTGGGAGTGTCAAACTGCCTCTTAGTAACCAGGTTGCCAAGTTAGGCTCCACTTGCAATCCCTTGGCTAGAAAGGGTCAGCAGGTTCTTAGGCCATGAATTTGGAGACCCTGGGGTACCAGTCTTCTCTTAAAGTTAAAGGGATGCCTGATGGCTGGAGCAGATAGGAGGGGGAAGTTATCAGGAAGCAACTTTGTCCTCCAAAAGGCACTGGTGTTCAGGACAAGAGAGCACAAAGGGGATGCCCACAAAAGTTCATAGGACAGAGAGCCCTCCACCACCACCGCCACAAAGGGGTAGCTTTTACATGACCTTTCAGCTCTGACTCTGGGCTCAACTTCCATCCCTTGGGGATTCTTACTCAGACTAAGTAATAATGGGAGAACTCCTGGGCAGAGTACCTCATGCCTTATAGAAAGAACTTTAGAAGACAAACGTGGTATCAAGAGGGGGGAATCCCTGAGGCTTTGTCATAGGGAGAAATTTACCAAAACCTCTGGGTGAATTTCCTAGGTCCTGGAACAAGGTGAGGCTTCCAGGCTCCAATAGGAGGAAGGAAGATGTATTTTTAGAGGACTCTTGATTTTTCTTATCCCTATTCTCAAATTAGTTTGGAGGGCAGTCAGGAAAGCTAGGTCCTGTGGGCCTGTCAGATTTATCAGCTGTTGGGTGGGGATGAGAGGGAGCCTCACCTCTGAGCCAGGGAAGGGAAATGTGGGAGTGTCGAGGGCAAAGGGAAGATGGGTATGTGCCTGAGGGAGGAGAAACCACTCACCCTGCAGTGCCTGCAAGCCCCTTGGCATCTTGCTTGGCTGAGATTGAACTGAAATTCTTCCAGGGTCTTCCGCTTCTCAGCCTAGGGTCTCCTCGTGAGTGTCCGAATGGTTCAAAGAGCCCCAGTCCTGGGGTTCCAAAGCCAGACACCCCATGCCCCCAGCACCAAAGGAAGAGCCCTCCAGCCAAGGCTCTTCAGCAGGTCTCTTGTACCCACAGGCAGGGTGGGACATCACTGAGCTGAAGGAAGCCATCCGTGGGCTGGCCAACCCTGGCATCCAGGCCTAATGGATTTTGGTTTTAAGAACACCCTTTTCCCCATTTCGTAAGACCACAGTAATAGAAATGCAGAGAGAGACAAGTGTAAGCAGGTAATGGTTTTTCCCTAGGGCCACATCATCCCTTGAGTGGGTGCAATGTCACTTCCGGCCACTTCCATTAGGCATCACACACCAGCACAGGGACGTGTGATTTGGATAGGAAAACAGTCTGGTCCATGTTGCATTAACGGACATCTCAGCAAGCAATAGGAAAGGGGCAGGGGATGGGAAATGGAGAGTACTTCAAGCAGAGCGGTGGAGCTGGCAATGCCAAGCAGGACAGGATGGAAGAAGCAGGTGCACGGTGGCCAGGTAGGGCAGGCAAGGGAGGGAGAACTCCAGGAACAGGGACAAGTCAACTGGTGCTGTTGGAGAATGCAGCGCACTGGGGCTTAGGGTGAGGAGGTAGGAAGGCACAGGATTGGGGTGGGGAATAGACAAAGGGAATATGGCTGGTGTAGGAGGGGGATGTGGCACGAGGAGCAGACAATATCCCTCCGGACACCTCTCCCCTTTCCCATAAGGCACTGCACAGGGTGGACTTCTGAGTCCTCTTATTTAGCTGGGGAATGGGAAGTGGGAAAGGATGGATATAGAGAAAAGGATGAAAACTGCTTGTGGGCCCAAGTCCAGCGGCTCTAAGCCACATGGTCCTCCCTACCCTTGAGCACCTTCAGAATATTCCATACAATTTAGCCCTGGATTATCATATGGCATTTTCTACTGTTTCCTGTTTCCTATGTGTCTGTCTTCTCTCCACGTGAGTCTGCCAGCTCTCTGAGACCAGAATCCTGTCTTACACTTCTCCTATAGCAGCTCCAAAAGGCAGCTAGCCCAGGATGGAGCATGCAGTAGTGACTCAACAAATACTCATTGATTAACTGAAAGGCTGGGGTGGGGGGGCAAGCAGAGGGTATTGTTCTGGGACCCCTCGCTGCCATATCTCCCAGCAAGGGGAAGGATCCTATAGACTGGCCTGAAAAAGAAGGATATAAAGGGAACAAGGATAGTGCTTTGTATATTATAAGCATTTAATAAATACTTACTATTGTGACATGTCTCAATCTGGTTCTCCCTCAATTTTGGGCAGAATGGGGACAGGGAATGTTTTATGTTAGGGTGGAGATGCTTAATTATTTCTTTTATTTTTTCCCTATTCAGGGCCTGTGATTTCATCAGTGCAGGGAACTCTCTGGTAGAGAAACTCTCCAATATTGCAAATCCCCAGCTCATCCATAATATATAGCCTTAAAGGATTGTTTGGGACAGTGAGAGGTTAAGTGTCCCACAGTCCATATGTGGCAGAGATAGGGCTTGTCCCCAGTCTTTCTGACTCCAAGAACAATCCTCTGGCTACTCTACCACACTGCCTCTCTATTCGTTCTTAAATCCCTGTAATGAGCCAGCTCCGCCCGCATGGAGTTTGGCAAGTGGCCTGACCACCCGCCAAGGTGTTGACCTGTTGCCTGAAGCCTCCAGAGAACATCAGCTCTAAAAGGAACATGGGGGGAGAGGGCTGACTCTGCCCCTGGAGGGGTGGGAGGCAGGAAATCCAAACCCACCAGGCCCTTGACCACGGGAGCTCAGAGACTGACTGTCATCTCCACCCAAGGTGGAAGCCCAAGGAAACCCAGGGGAGAAGGAGGGAGAAGAAGAGCTGCACCCTCTAGGCATGATGGGAGAAGCACCATGTTGGATCCTGGGGCAGGGGATGCCAGTGTTACCTGAGAAGAAGTGAGCCTTGAAGCCCTTCTTGGAAACGGTGTTGTCCGACTTGAACTCTACACGCATGTTGTTGTACTGGGAGGTTATCACCTCAGGTTTTTCAGCACCACAGAACTTGCCATGAAGTTTGGAATCCGCTGTCAGTCCACTCCTTACCTCCACAAAGTCATACTTGCATACCTGCCCCGATGGGTACAGTTCAAGTCCCACTACCAAGGAAGTCTCCCTTCCCTAACTTATCCAACTCTCATTGAACTATTCATGCTCTGAACCACAAGGATGTGTTCTTAACTTGAGGTCCACAGACCCTCCCCCCTCACCCCAGGGATCCAGGGGTTTGAAATCGATTTCAGGGGTCCATGAACTTGGATGAGAAAAACAATTGCATCTTTTATTTTCACTGATCTTTAATTGAAATTTAGCATTTCTTTCAAATATTTAAAAACATGATTTTGAGAAAGGAGTCCATAGGCTTCATCAGATTGCCACAGGGGTCTCTGACACAAAAATGTGAAAAGCCCCTACCCTAGAGTGCTAAAAGGTATCTGGATCCCAAACAAGGACTAAAATTACTGTCTTATTTAAAAGGCGTTTCATGAGTGCTAATTCTGGTCTTTCCAAATAGAAAAGTTATTGCACTTTCCACTGGCTCTGGAGGTCAAAGGATCTGAGTTTAAATCCCATCTCTGATATTTATTTGTGCTACCACTAAATGCATTTTACAAATGAGGAAACTGACAAGGAGAAGGTTTAAGTGATTTGCCCAGTGTCACACAGCTAGGAATTGTTTGATTTGAACTCAGGTCTGCTCTGTCCACTCTGCCACCGAGATATCTTAATATATGCAAACTATGCATTTATGTTATATGAAATCTGTCAAGGACAAAGGGGGGATAGTTAGAAGAGTTTTCTGAAAGCTCTAGGCACAGGGGACCTAACCCTCCTTGGCTGTACCCTGGGGATGGAGTAAAGCCTCATAACACACAGTGCTGACAATAAATTTCAATCCTCTAGGGCAAGAGTAAAATACCCACTTGTGAGCTGACTGGTACTATTGGCGGAAAAAGACTCATGAGTCAAAGTGGACTAGAAGTGAATATAAATCAGCAATTTTTTAAAAATGACAATTGAGATACTGAGCTATATTATTAGAAGTGCTAAAAATGTAAGAGGACACAAACTTTGCAGATGCAATAGTGTGCTGGTATATACTTAACAACTAGCTCTCTGGGGAGGAGGGAAGGAAATGTACATGGAAGACACTTTTAAGTTTGATCTGTATTATTATTATTTTCTCCATCACTTCTTTAAAGTCTAGAAATCAACAAAACAATAAATAAGCTCTGATGTGTAGTTTGCTGATTTCCAAAGTATAAATGCTCACAATGAAAATTTAACAATCAGCTCTTGCTATAGGTGGTCCAAGCTGGCTCTAGCATAGCTCTGCTTAGACTCCCATTAAAATAAAATATCCAGGTTCGTTATTGATATTTTTAAAAGTTAAACAGAAAGACTAACTTCCTGACTATAAGGGGGATCCCCAGGGGTCTATGACCTTGTCTTTGGGCGTTGATCCCTAAAGTTCTGATTTATCAGCAACAAAGATTTATTAAGCATAGAGTACTGTGTCTGAGCCTAAGAAAGATAGGAGGATAGAGAATGCACCCATGATTTTGCCAGTATAGGGAGCTCCCAGGCAAGAATACTCCCTTTGCCAGAGTGGAATGGCATCATTTCTGCAACTTACAATAGTCTTAGAAAGTTGACTAGAGCATGGAGAGGTTGTGACTTGCTCAGAGTCACACAGCCAGTGTCAGAGGTGGCAAGATATGAACCCAGGACCTCCTGGCTCTGAGACTAACTTCCTATCCATTAAGCAATGCTCCCTCTGCTAGGCTACATAGATAAATAGGACCTCCTTCCCCCACCCCCTCCAGACCCAAGTAGGAGGTAAAGGAGAGAAGAATGGGAAATGGGATATTAGAAGGACATGGGAATAGAAGAATGGGGCATGACTTCTTGACCCTCCCCTCACCTGAGCACTGGAGCTGGTACTTACATCATTTCCCTCTGTCTCAAAGAAGTCAAACTGTAGGGAGATTCGGTACTGGGTAGGTGCCACAAGCTGCCAGATACAGTTCTTGTTGGGAGGGTACTCCTTGGGCCAGCCTGGGCTGGTGATGGAACCATTAAGCTTGGTAAGGAAACCACCGCAGGCAGCTGTGGGGTCAGGAATATGGGAAGGTGGGGTTAGAGAGGTAATCATAGGTCAAAGGCTCCTGGTCTGGGAGCATGGGAGAGAGGAGCCCTGGCCTGGGCATGACTGAGAAGCTGGCAGCCCAGCAGGTGAATGTAAAGGGAAATGCCCAATGGTTCCACAAGCCCACACAGGCAGGACTGGATGAGAATGCATAGTGGTAGTGGTTTCAGGGGCAAGGCAGAAACCTCCAGAAACTCTGGGAGCTCCTACATAGAGGGATAAATCAAAGCTCCCATGTCTTCAAGGAAAGAACTTATCCAAGGGGTATCAGGAATGACCACTGACAAGTTAATTTCTGGGCATCAGATGGAGTAGAGATTGGTGGAGAGGGTGGTAATGAGGTGCTGCTCACCTTCACAGCGGCGTTTGTCTGGAGCCAGCTCATAGCCCGGGTCACAGCTGCATTTATAACTGCCCAGAGTGTTGAGGCAACGCTGTTCACAGCCACCTCGGTTGGGCCGGGAGCACTCATCCACTTCTGGTTGGGAGAGAAAGGAGAGCCGCAGATTAAACCGTGGGACTGAGTTCCCTACCTGTGAGGTCGTAGAGAAGCTTTCTCACCCAGGCCTCCTCTGGACCCTTCCAAATCCAAGCTCTTCATTCTCTTCTATGAGTCAAGCTCTCCCCTCACTTTTCTGACCTATTTTGCTGTGCTCAGGAGGGGACACAGTCCCCACCGGCTCATCACACATGCCGAAGAATGACATCTAATAGGAGGGGGCACGGACAGAAATGGAGAGCTAGGGCCCTGCAGCTCCCCCTTGGAAAAATAAGGCCAAAGGTTCTTACCCTTCTTGTGCACCAGGGACCCCTTCTCATAATGATGTTTTTAAATGTGTAAAATCAAGTACATAACATTACAAAGAAAACCAAGGGTGAATGAAAATAAAGATGGAATTTTTTCCCATCCAAGCTCATGAAATCCTGTTACTTAAAGGCACAGAGATGAGAGTAGTGGGTACCAGAGAGTGAAATTGATAAATTATCATCTAAAAAATTGATAAATTGATAAATTATCATCATAAATTATATCACAGATGTACACATCTGTGCATGTGCATGTGTGTTTGTATGCATGTATGTATGTGTGCATTGTGTGTACCCTGTGTATGTGTTACGTGTGTGTGCATGTGTGTGTGTGTGTGTGTGTATGTAATTTAGGGGCACTGAACCATTCAGGAAGCTTTCCCTAACCACCCTAACCATAATGACCTCTTCTTCCTCTGAACTAGAACATGAGTGTAACAGTCAGTTGGCACTGAGCATATCCTGCCCTGAGAGGAGGTATGGTAGAGTAGAAAGGGTGCTAGGCTTGCAGTTAGGGGACACCTGAGCTGAAATCCCACCCCTGACAGTTATTTGCTATGTGTCCATGGACAAGTCACCAGCCCTCTCTGAGCACCTTAACTATAGTGGGGATAATCATACCTGCAGTACCAACCTCATGGGGTTGTCATATGGCACAAATGTTTGTATGTAAAGCCCTTGGCAGATATTAAAGACTTATCTACAGGGTGTCCCAAAAGTCTTAGTGAAGTTTAAGCTTTATTCATCTCGTTTTAAGCTATTAAAGTTTAAGTAAGCTATTAATGCTTACTGCACACTAAGACTTTTGGGACACTCTGTAGAAATGCCAATTATTTTTATTATGTCTTATACTATTTGAGATTTGTATTATTGGTTAACTTTTCACTGTGCATATGTCTTGTCTTCCCAACTACAGAGTGAATTTCTTGAAGGTATGGACTGTGTCTTACATTTCTCATGTGTTAATTCAATTCAGCAAAGATGTATTTAGGACCTACTATGTGCAAGGCCCTGTATCAATCAGGTTCTGGAAATACAGTGATGAAAAATGACACAGTTTCTGCCTCCAAGGAGCTTATAATCTGGGAGGGGGATGACACATCAACACAGAGAGCTGAGAAATGTTAAAAATGGTTAAGTGCCTAAGAAAGATCTAACAGATTGTCTGAGAGATTCCTCTTCCCACAATAGCCCCAATGCCTATCACAGTGCTGAGTGCATAGTTGTTATTCAATAAATATGCATTGAATGAATGAATGAATGAATGAATGAATGAACAAAAGACCAAAAAAAAAAAAAAAAAGAGAGATACATGGGCATTGCAGAGACTGATGGGCAATGGGGGAGTTCATTGGTTAATGAGTAATTATATTATAACTCAAATTTCTGTAGCAGTTTAATGTTATCTCATTTGCTCCTTACAACAACCCAGGAAGGTAGTAGACACTCTAGGAATGGACACTGCAGGATCTGGGTAGAAGAAAGGAAGGAGGCACCTTTGAAAAAGTTGACAGCAAAGCCAGCTTTGTTGATGGAGCCATCAGAGACAAACTTGAGCCAGAGGCGGCTGGATGTACTTTTGATGTCATCTGGCTTCTCATAGCCACAGTATCGTCCAATGAGGGTGCTGGTCTCACTGTGTCCATCCCGTACCTCCAAGTAGTCATAGGCACAGCTGTCATGGCGTTCAATCTGGAGGGGAGATGAAGGGCAGAAGCCAGGTTGGGAGGAGGAGCTTCCAGCTGCCATAGGAACCTGTACCCCAGCTAGGCCCTTGGAGAGGTAGAAGAGATAGACTTGAAAATGTGATGAGGGCAAGAAGGTGGTTGATCAAAAAGAACCAGGGGAGAGTAGTTGGGCATTGATTGCCTGAAGAGAGAGAAAGGAACTAGTGATACATAGGTTTAGAGGGCCATCATTTCCTACAATCAGGATGGTCCCATGTTCAGAGACCCAGCACCATACCTCAAAAGACTGGAAAGTGAGCCCCACATGGAAGCCCTCAGACACCTGGATCCGCCAAATACAGACTTTGCTGGGTCGGTAGTCATCTGGGTAATTGGGTGACTGAATGTGGCCATTGTCCTTCTTTACATCACCCCCACAGATAGCTGCAAACAGTATGGGTGGAGGAAGTCAGGAAACTAGAGGAGACAATTCCATCTGGTGCGGAGTTTGACCTTCCTCATCCTCCTGGGTTCTCAGAATTTATGGTAATTCCCTACTCTACTGGACTCCTCCCCTTTCTGGCTTCCCTCCTTCCCTAGTTCCTAACATTTGCAGAGTTCTGACAGCTCCTGGATTCTCTTCTTCATAATCCCATTATCTTCCTTCTCCTGTTCTACATATTTCTCTTCCATCTTCCTTTAACTTTGCATCCATTCCAAATTTTCCTGCACCTCTGTCTAATTCCAGTCTCCATTTGTTTTCTCTTGGATTCTACCTACTGCGGCTGCCCTTTTCCCTAAGGCAAAGTGGCTCCCTAATGCTCCCTGTTACTAAGGATCAAATGATCAAATTCTCTGTTTGGCTTTTAAAGCACCTTACAACACTGCCCCTTCCTACCTTTCCATTCTTTTCCCACTTTTCTCCCTCCCTTGTACTCTAGGCTCCAGCAACACTGGCCTTCCTGTGGTTCCTTTCACATTAAACTCTGTCTCCCAGTTCTGTGCCTTTGTGTTGGTTCTTCGCCATGCCTTGAACACTCTTTCTTTACCTCTGTTTTCCTTCACTTCCTTTCAGACACAGCTCAAATCCGACTTTCTGTAGCAGGCTTTTCCCAGTTCCCCCAACTCCCCACCCCAGCTAGAACCTTCCCTCTGACACTACCTTCCATTTACACTTGGTATGGACAATTTTTTGCATGTTGTCTCATTAGGATGTAAGCTCCTTGAGGACAGGGACCTTGTTTTTGCCCTTTTCTTCCCCCACATAACCAGTTGTGTTTCAGTCATGTCTGACTCTTTGTGACCCCATTTTTTGGGAGTTTTCTTGGCAAGGATACTGGAGTGGTTTGTCATTTCCTTCTCCAGTTCATTTTACAGATGAGAAAACTGAGGCAAACAGGGTTAAGTGACTTGCCCAGGGTCACACAGCCAGCGTCTGAGGTCAAATTTGAACTTAAGTCTAACTGATTCCAAGCCCAGTGCTCTATCCACGTTGCCTCTTGGCTACCCCATATAACTAGAGCTTAGCACATAGTAAGTGCTTGGTAAATGCTTATTGACCAAGGTCAGTTTAAGAGGGCAAGGACAAGGAATTCTCTTTACACCCATGCCTTATTGACACCCCCCCCCCCACAGCACATTTCCCACGAATACCTTCATAAACAGCAAAGAAGCCTTTCCCAACCCAATTGCTGCTGCTTCGGAACTCCACCCAGAGGCGGCTGTCAGTGGAAACAATGGGTTCAGGGAGTTTGTTCCCACAGAACCTTCCTGTAGGCAGTGAAAAGGTAGGGACAGTGTGAGAATAACGCAATAAATCTTTCTAGAAACCATGTGTAGCTAAAGTAGGCAGCACAAAGGCGGGTGCAACGAGGGACTCTTTAATATGACTTTGTAAGTGCGCATGTTTGCAATATCAGAAAATCCCACTGTCCATAGCCTGGATATGTTTATTTTATGATATCATGTCCCATGTGTCATAGGGGAAAGCTTAACGTCTACTGTAGATTGAAACACAAAGAAGACACACATTTCTTTTCTTTCTTTTTTTTTCTTTTTTTTAAGGCAAACAGAGGTTAAATGACTTGCCCAAGGTCACACAGCTAGTGAATATCTGAGGTCACATTTGAACTCAGGTCCTCCTGACTTCAGGGCCAGCACACTACCCACTGAGCCATCTACCTGCCTCTGAGATACAACTTTCAAACCTTGCCTGGGGCAGCCAGATACCCCAACTTCCATCCCTACCTTAGCCCTGACCCTATCTCTACCTGTTACTCTCTCTCTTCTCATGCTCCTTTCCCTCATTGGACCATGTACTTAACTACGTACAATCATTGCAAATTTCTTTCCCTTTCACAAACTGCAAAATTGTGAACCAGACCCTGGATCTGGGGCAATCACATCAAGGTTCACAGATGCAACGACAAACAACCTGCCAGGCTTTTTCCTTCTTATCTTATCTCTACCCCAAAGCTGTCACTACCCTAACAGGCAGGCCAGGTAGACACGATTACCCTTGCTTTGTAGAGGAGGGAACTGATGCCCACAAAAGTTAAGTGATTTCCTTAAGGCCGTAGAGCAGAACCAGGATTAGAATACAAGGTTTATACCTCTGAGTCCAGGGTTCATTCTCTTATAGCATATTGATCAGAATGTTTGGAACTGTGTGTGGAGAAAGGCTTAATTAAGGGAAGTTATAAGGAAAGAAGTGGGTAGTTCTCAGAAAGGAGGGTAGAAGTAATAATAACTACCAGCATTTATATAGCACTTCAATGTTCCCAAAGTGCTTTACATAGGTTATCTCATTTGACCATGATGCCTAGAGCAGGGTAGGACACAGTTACCTCGGAGGGGAGCTTTTCTCCAAAACCCGTCTCTAACCTCTACGTAGTCGTACCAGCACAGCCGGCTGCGGTATAAATCCAGGGAAGTAAAATTCAGAAGGATCTGTCAGGGAAAAAGAGGAAGGTGAAAGACCATGTTGCTTCTCATGTCATCCCCTCTCAGGGGTGGGGAACTTGCAGTCTGGAGGCCACACGTGGCCCTCTAGGTCCTCAAATGTGACCCTCTGACCGAATCCAAACTTCATAGAACAAATCCCCTTAAGGCCCAAGGACTAGAAGGCCACACGTGGCCTCGAGGCTGCAGGTTCTCCACCCCTGCTATACCTGCCCCCAACCAGCTCCTTCACCATAGTATGTCCCACCTACCAGTTGAGTGGCCTGCAGTCTTGTGGGGCTCAAGAAAACACCTCCTACCCTAAAGCTCCCAATGTGTCAAATAGATATATTCTAGAGCAGTGGTGCCAAACTCAAACAGAAAACAATACATAAGCTTCCCTACAGGCTGCATATTGACTTTGTTCAATCATTTCAGTTGTGTCCAACTCTTCGTGATCCCATTTGGGGTCTTCTTGGTAGAGATACTGGAGTGGTTTGCCATTTCCTTCTCCAGCTCATTTTATAGATGAGGAAACTGAGACAAATAGGGTTAAGTGACTTGCCCAGGGTCACACAGCTAGTAAGTGTCTGAGGCCAGATTTGAATTCAGGAAGATGAGTCTTCCTAACTCCAGGCCTGGCACTATATCTACTGCACCACCTAACTGCTCACATATTGACTTAGAAAACCACAAATTAATATTAGATATGATGTATTGTATTTTGTTTTGTTAAATATTTCCCAAGTACATTTAATCTGTTTCAGGCATCGCTTGGCTTGCATTGGGGCGATGCAGACTGCAGACTGTATTCTGACACTTCTGTTCAATAGCACCAGAGAGGTACACTCTCACTAAAGGATTCTTTTCAATGTTCAACGGACATAACTGCTAATACTTTAGTGTGAATTTGCTGATCAGAAAGTATTCCTTAGTGACAAGAGCAGTCCAGAATAACATGAGAGTATTGGGTTCCCGAGAGAGGAAAAGTCCTAGAAAGAGGGAAGAGTAGGATGATGGAATGCTGACAGTCATTCCATGATTATTTTCCTCTCCACAAACTCCATAATTAAGCACGTATTCCATGAAGGGAACTCTAGAACAGACACAGTCAAGGAGCTCATAGTCTGTTGGGAATGTATAAGAATAATACACATGAAAATGTAACTAATGAGACAGGGCAGCTGGTGATAAGATTCTACTTCTCTGTGAGTGTATCACAGAATAATACTCCTTACAGTCACTAGCATAGTTAGTACCTAATAAATGCTTTTTGGCTGATTGATTGACTGAATCCATGTTAGGTTAGCAGATGGGGACCTAGGCCTGAGTAAGCATAAAAGCCACACTTCCAGGGCTAGTGGGAACAATTTTCTTGGCAGCTTCTAGGTGAGTGTTTCCAGGGGAAAAGTATAAGACAGATTAATTTGCCTTGTGATTCAGAAAGTATGAGCAGTAAAGGCCTTGACCCAGAGATCCATTTGCTATGTATGTCTTCTTTCCTGAGATGGTAGCCAAACTATGAGGGCTTTAAATGTAAACTAATCCTTCAGCTAGTGGTGAGGTGAAAGGATTTGAGGAATGACCCTCTACTCCATCTTTTTAGAAGGGATGAATGGTTCCTAGATAAGAAGAAAGAATTAATTCTGGAAGGTTAGTTAGTAACCAAGAAGCAAAACATACCAGTGGGGAATCAAAGATAGTGGTTGGTGAATGTAAGAACGTAATGCAAGGGACAAAGAGAAGGAGGAGGCAGTAAGTCTGCCCTGCTCAAGACTAAGTGGGAGCTCTGTCCACAGAGCTTCCCCTGTCCACAGAATCCAGACCTTCTGAAGAAGCATCCAACGCTGACTGGAATACAAAGACACCAGCAAACGAGAAGAATCTGTTCCCCTCTCTGAGAAGAAAGAGATGCATTATGGTGGTCTGGGACCCCCTGCTCAGATCTGATGTGCCTGGTCCACTTGGGTACCTAAGAGGAAACTTTCAGGCTGGTAAATACCTTTTAAGCTAAATAAATATACTTTAAACCTACCACTTTATCCATTCTTGCTGACTTACATGGGGACAAATGAGTTGTTCAGAAAAAAAAAATAACACTGGAATATTTCACTAATAGCTCTGGAGCCAAGGAATTTGGTTTTCTGGATGATGAGTTAAGATAACAGAAATGATACAAGGATAACAGGAAAGGGATAGTGTGTATCTCATAAAGACCAGAAATTTACTGACCTAATCAGTAGGGCTTTCAACTGAAAATTGAGGGAGAGGGGAAAAAAGGCCCAGATAAAATTATAATGACAAATGGTATGGAGAACAACAGGTGTGATATAGAAGACTCCTAACAGAGGAAATGCCTAGTAATTCTCTGCAGGAGATGGGGTAAAGAACTATAAGGAAGACATTTAACTTTAATACTTAACAGATTTAACTGTCTCTGTTGAAGTTAATGAACAGCGTATGGGTAATAACCAAAGTGAATTTGAAATTGTAATATAAAGAGGTTGTTGCAATTTCATAGTTATCACTGAGATGATATATGATGGGCCTCTGGGCTGGAATAAGGCTATGGTAGGACTGCCATACTTGTTTGAACAGAAGGCGTGGGTAGTATATATACCAGAAAGGTATGGAAATCTACGAAGCTCAGAGGGGAAACATGATAGAGGGTATACAGATAAGGATCACAGAAGAGGAGAAGGTTGATATTGCTCATAGTACAAACCACAGGACCATTAGCCTGTTACAGTTTACAAAACTGATACAAACAAAAAAGCAACAACATAGTAGCAATAAATAACTTCAAATATAACGACTTCACCTCTACCTGGAGGATTAGCTTATATTTGAAGCCCTCATAATTGCGCTAACATCTCAGGAAAGAAGACATACATGGCAAAAAACCCTCTGGATCGCTGGGTCAAATCCCTTATTGCTCACACTTCTTACATCTCAAGGCAAATTCATCTATCTTATGCTTTTGCCCTGGAACTACTCACAGAGAAGCTGCCAAAGATACTATTTGATACATTCATACCATACTGATAATTTCACCACTTAGAAGACAGAGGGAACAATAAAAAGACCTGCTACTCTAGATTTAATTTTAACCAATGAGGAAAACTGGTTGGTAATTTGCCAATGGCTTTGTGAAGGAAGTACTAGAAAGAGCAAGACACGGACCTTTGATTTTAGGTAAGTAGGTTTTGTTTGTTTGTTTGTTTTTAAAAAAAAGCCCAGAGGACAGATCCAAAGGCTAGTCTAAAAGGAAAGATGTCTCAAGAGGAATGAAAAGTTTACTAATTGTAATTGTGACTATTCAGTTGTGAATATTCCCAATGAAAAATGAGTCAGGCAGCAGGAGGAATCAACATCACTGCAAGGAGACTTTTGAAATTTTTAATACACGTGGATAAAAGATGAAGGAGGCACATGCAACCAAGGATGAATGCAAACTAGTGACAATGACAATAACAACGTACCAATAACAAGCATGGTGTTTTATATTTATCAAAGTCCTTTTCTCACAACCACCTTCTGAGGTAGGTTAACATTACTACCTTGCATTGTGATAATCATGTCAGGAATGCAAAAGCCCAGAATGAACTTTCTTTGAAAAATTGCTAAAGAAAACAAACCAAAAAAAAAAAAAAAAAGGACTTTAAAAATATATTTAGAATCCAAAAAAGAACAAAAAAAAAAAAGGAACGGATCTGGGGAAAACAGTGGAAAGTTAATAGATGATACTGTTCAAGCCATATTTTCTGTCCATTTTCTTTACCAAGGAGAATGACTTCTCCAACCAGACCCAAAGGGATAATAAAGCAAACATGATTAAGAGGCAACTAACGCCTGAGATAAGGTGAAAATGGAAAGAGCACATCTCATCACTTTCAACAAGCTCAAGGCTTCAGGCCTAAAAGAATAATATCCCAGAGTACTGAAGAGACTTGCAGATGTGAGAACATAGAACCACTACTAGTGATGTCTGAGAAATCATGGCAGATGGGAAAGGAGCCAGAAAATCAGATGGGTAAATGCTGTTCCGATTTTCAAAATGTGGAAAAAGGTAGATCCTTTAAACTAAAAGTCAGTGATTTTGACACTGATCTCTGGCAAAATTCTAGGATGATTACTAAACACATGGTTTATATGCACTTAGAAAAGGAAGCAATGATCATTAGTAGCCAGCATGAGTTCACCAAGAGTAAGTCATGTCAAACTAATATCATTTTCTTTTTGATTCCGTTTCTAGACTTGTACAGCAGGTGATGGATTTTATCAAGGGCATTGAAAAAATCTCTTACATTACAGAAGCAGTGGAAGGTAGTGGCAAATTCGCTAGATGTGGAGTTAGAAGACTAGAGTTCAAGTCCTGGTTTTGCCAATAAATACCTTACGTTACTCTGGCAAAGTCACTTAATCTACCCGAGCCTCACTTTCCTCATTTCTGACTTGGAGATATTCTCTGTTCTACCTATCTCCCAGGATTGTTTTAAGTCCCATGAGAGTAAGGACAACATCTTACTTATATTTGTATCTCTTTCAGAGCCAAGTACAGTGTTTTGAACATAGTAGGCCCTTCATTTTGGCTCAGATCAATTATTACACTACTAGGGCAGCTAGGTGGTGCAGTGGAAAGAGCACCAGCCCTGGATTCAGGAGGACCTGAGTTCAAATCTGGCCTCAGATACATAACACTTACTAGCTGTGTGACCCTGGGCAAGTCACTTAACCCCATTGCCTAACCAAAAAAAAAAAAAAAAGAAATTGCTTGGGGCAGCTAGGTGGCGCAGTGGATAGAGCACCGGCCCTGAAGTCAGGAGGACCTGAGTTCAAATCTGGCCTCAGACCAAACACTTGACACGTACTTAGCTGTGTGACCTTGGGCAACTCACTTAACCCCAATTGCCTATAAAAAAAAAAGTTTAAAAAAATTTTAAAAAATAAAAAAAAATTATTACACTACTGTTTAATAAATGTAAACTTCTAGAAAGGCAACGACTGTT